CGCAACACCGAGGGTTGCGATCCCGTTACCGGTCAGTAAAAAAAAGACAAAAAGGAAAAAAGAAAATTACGGGCCAATATCCCTGATGAACATAGATACAAAAATCCTCAACAAAATAGTAGCAAATCAAATTCAACAGCACATTAAAAGGATCATTCCCAATGATCAAGTAGGATTTAATACTAGAGGCAAGGATGGTTCAACACATGCAAATCGATAAATGTGATATAACATGTTAACAGAATGAAAAAAAATGATCATCTGAACAGATGTGGAAAAAGCATCTGACCAAATTCAACATCCTATTATGATTAAAAAAACCTCTCAACAAATTAGGCATAGAAAGAATATAACTTAACACAATAAAGGCCATATATGAAAAGCCCACAGTTACCAACATACTTAATGGTGAAAAGTTGAAAGCTTTTCCTCTAAGATCAGGAACAAGACAAGAATGCCCACTCTTACCATTTCTATTCAACATAGTACTAGAAGTTCTAGCCAGAGCAATTAAGTAAGAAACAGAAATAATAGGCATCTGAAAAAGAAAGGAAGAAGTAAAATTGCCTCTGTTTGCTGGTGACATTGTTTTATATATAAAAAAAACCGTAAGGACTCTACTGAAAAACTGTTAGAAATAATAAACAAATTCAGTAAAGTTGCAGGGTACAACATCAACACACAAAAATTGTTAGTGTTTCTTTACCCTAACAACAAATTACCTGAAAAAGAAATTAAGAAGTCAAATTTAATCAAGGGGATGAAAGAAAAAACAGAAATAGAAAAAACAATCCTAGAATTCACGAGGAACCATGAAAGACATTGAAAAGCAAAAGCAATCTTGACTAAAAAGAACAAAGCTGTAGGCATCTCACTACCTGACTTCAAAATATATTACAAAAGTATAGCAATCAAAACAGCATGGTACTGGCATAAAAACCAGATAGTGACCAATGAAAATGATAGAGAGCCCAGAAATAAACCCACACATATTTATGGTCAATTTATTTTTGACAAATGTGCCAAGAACACACAATGAAGAAATGACAGTCTTTTCAATAAATGGTATTATAAAAACTAAATATCCCCAGCAGAAGAATAAAATTGGACCCTCATCTCACACCATATACAAAAATCAACTCAAAATTAATTAAAGACTTAAACATATACAAAATATATACGAAACAACTCAATAGCAAGAAAACAAATAACCCATTCAGGAAATGGGCAAAGGACCTAAATAGATACTTCTCAAAAGAATATATACAAATAGCCAACAGATATATAAAAAAACAGCATCATGATCTTCAGAAAACTGCAAATTACAACCACAATGAGATATCATTTCACACCTATTAAAATAACTACCATCAAAAAAAGACAAAAGAAAACAAGCACTGGTGAGGGTGTAGAGAAAAGGGAACCTTCATGCACCACTGTTGGGAATGTAAATTAATAGTCATTAGAAAAAAAGTGTGGAGTCTCCTCAAAAATCAAAAAATAGAATTATCATATGATCCAGCAATCTCAATTCTGGAAATATATGCAACAGAATTGAAATCAGCATGCCAAAGAGATACCTGCACTCCCATGTACACTGCAGCATTATTCACAATAGCTGACATGTGGAAGCAACCTAGTTATCCATCATCAGAAGAATGTATTTTAAAAAATTTTTGTATATATACACAATGGAATACTATTCAGCCTTCAAAAAGAGGGGAAATCCTGCCATTTGTGACAACATGGATGAAACTGGAGGATATTATGCTAAGTGAAATAATCCAGGCACAGAGAGATAAACGCCACAAGAACTCACTTACATGTGGAATCTAAAAAATTTGAACTTATGGAAGTATAGAATAGAATGATGGTTACCAGAGGCTGGGCTGGGGGTGGTTGTGTGTTCATGGGGAAAGGGGAGGTGTTGGTCAAAGAGTACAAAGTTTCAGTTAGACAGAAAAAATATGCTTCCGTGATCTATTACACAGAATGGTGACTAAAATAACAATGTATATTTCAAAATCGCTAAAAGAGTAAATTTTAAATGTTTTTACCCCCCCAAAATGATAAGTATGTAAGGTGATGGATTTGTTAATTAACATACTTTAATGATGCTACATTGTACACATATATCAAAATATCACATTGTACCCCATAACAATGTACAATTATTGTCAATTAAAAATAAAGTTTGAAAAAAAAGAAATAAAAAACCTGTAATAAAAATATCCATCTTACTTGGCTGTGCTCAAGAGCTTCAAAAAGTTGTTCATCTGACTTCAGTAATGGAATGCCTGTTCGATAGTAAACTTCATAAGAAAACTCCATGGTAGCCCAGGTCTGACTGATTTCAGTAATAACCTTGTTTAAAAAAAAAAA